TGGCCCATGACAGCCCTAGTCAGTTGTTTTTTTAAATATATATATATTTTTATTAATTTCAGAGAGGGAGAGAGAGAGAGAGAGAGAGAGAGAGAGAGAGAGAGAGGGAGGAATATCAGTGATGAGAGAGAATCATGAATGGGCTGCCTCCTAAATATCCCACTCTCGGGATAGAGCCCAAACAGGCCTGTGCCCCAACCAGGAATTGAACCGTGACCTCCTGGTCCAGAGTCACCCCTCACCCACTGAGCCACGCCTGGTTATCGTGTCCCCTTTCACTGCCCAGTTTGGGCAATAAAATACATGGACACCCAGTCCCAGGTCCCGGTGTCTCTGTTTTCCCCACGGGGACTCTGAGGCTCACGGAGACTGAGTTAGGGGGGCAGGACCCTGGATGAGGGTGGGGCGGGGCGGGGCGGGAACGGGGCCTGTCGGACCTCACAGCCCAGCCTTTGCCATCGCCCACACTGCCGTCCACAGGATGGCACACCATTACCGGTATGTGCAGCCTGACCGTCTCCGAGCGCGGGCTCTGTGCCCACGTGCTGCCAGGGGTGGAAGGGTGAGAGGAGGCGGACTGGGCAGGACTCCTCCAGCGGTTCGGTTCATAAGAGAAAAGCAGCGCACACTGGCTCGAGCACAGGGGGCGAGTTAGTGGTTCACGTCCTCGGAAGGCCCAGGGCAGTGTTGGCATACTGCGCGCCTGTGCCAGGCAGGTGGCCCTGTCTGTGGGGATCCCATGCATTGGGGGGCAGATGACAGCGCTGTCTGTCCTAGCAGTCTGGCTCACGGCCACCCTGCTCAGCAGGGCACACACGCTGGACCCTGGCAGCAGCGCCAGGCCTGTGCCCGGGCCAGGAGCCGCTGGCAGAGGCAGTGCCGGCTGCTCGGAGATCGGAGCCCGTCCCAGCCCCCGTGGCCTCTGCTGTTATCACCACGCGGCCGCGCGGTGCGGGAGGCGGCGGGTGGCGGCTGGCTGTGTGGCGGGCAGTGGCGGGGCGGGGTGGGGTGTGTGGGTCAGGGGCTGGGGCAGGAGCCCGTCACCTCCCTTCTGGAGGCCTGGGGCTCCTCTGGGGAGGGCACCGGCTCCCAGGCCGCGGAGAGCTTGGCCAGGACCTCGGGTGCCGAGCTGGGCCGGGCGCGGGCCAGGCCCTCCCTGAAGGAGGGCAGGGTGTCCTCACCTCAGGGCCGTTGTGTCCGTGACCTGGGTCACTGCCACCAGCTCGTCCGACCCTGCTTCCCGCCCGGGCAGCTCGGAGCACCGGGCGCGGAACCCCGGTGACGCCAGCCCCCGGCCCGCCCGCCCCGCACAGCCTGCCTGGCGCTGGCTCCTCCAGCTCCGAAGTCCCGGCAGCTGGAGGGTTCTGGGTGACGCCAACCCGGCCCCTTCCCTTTGGCGCTGGCCGGTCTCCTCCGCGCCCAGCGATCACATTCTGGAATCGGGTGCTGGGAGCCTCAAGCGCCGTCTCTCCCTCCTCACCAGCTGCTGCCCCCTACAGCCCCTTCCCCACCCCTTCCCACCTGCTGGACTCTTCACAGCGCCTGGCTCCCCGAGCGTGACCCACAGGACCCGGCGTGGGGGATGGTGGGCGGCTCTCGTGTTTTAATCCCCACCCAAGGGCGTTTCCGCCGATTTTTTTTTTTTTTTTTTGAGAGAGAGAGAGAGAGAGTGGAGGGGAGGGAGGAGGAGGAGGAGAGAGAGAGAAACATCGATGGGTTGCCTCCTGCACGTGCCCGGGCCTGGGCGAGGGATGGAACCTGCAATCCAGATACGTGTCCGTGACCAGGAATCGAACCCGGGACCCTTCAGTGCTCAGGCCGGAGCTCCGGCCACACTGGCCAGGGCATGTGTTATTATTATTTTTAAAAACCCACTAGGACCTCACACACCTACGGTTTCACCCATCTTATTGCTTATGGCAAGAGTTTTATTTTAGAGAGAAAGAGAGAGAGAGAAAGAGAGAGACCCCACGGTGGCAGCCCAGACGGGACCCAGCTCTGGGGCGAGGGGGAGTTGGGAGGAGGGTGTGTGGCTGCCGCCTGCTAGCTGGGGGATGCCCCGGAAGCAGAATCTGCTGGCTGGGCTGCCTGTGGCCCCAGGGCGGGAGCCCTTCCTGCTAAGCTCTGCCGTCCACCCCCACCCAGGCCCACACACATCCAGGCAGACCCTGGAGTCCAGAGAACAAGTGGGGTGCACCCCCGGGTGCGGGAGGCTCCCCAGGACCAGCGGCTGCTCTGCGTGGAGGGGAGCGGGGAGAGCTCGGGAGGGGCGGGGCGGGGGGGAGAGCCTGCCAGGAATGTCCTGGGGCGGCTCCAGGGCCGACTGCTCAGCGGGAAGGGAAGGGAAGGGAAGGGAAGGGTTTCAGGGTGGCCGGTCCGGCCTGCAGCCTCCGCTCCCCGCTGGCCGGCCCAGCCCTGCGCATTCCTGGGGCCTCCGAGCTGAGCTGGCCCCGTTCTGCGGGCACCCGGAGTTTCCTTTGAAACCCGGGCACCGACATCTGGTAGCTCTTAGCGCGCAGAGAGGCTGACAGAGCGCCGGGGGCGGGCGGGGGAGCCGTGCGCTCCGGAGGACGGAGCCAGCCGCGGAGACAAAGGGGAAGGAGCCGGCTGAACTCCAGCCCGCTCCCCGAGGCCGCTTTGATGTGGTTCCCGTCCCCCGAGGCCTTATAAGGCATCGTGCCTGCGCTGTGGGCCGGCCTGGTGCTGGCTGCACACCCCGAGACCAGCCAAGGAGCTGGCCTCTCTCTCCCTGGGGCCCCGGGCGGGCCGAGGGGGGCAGTGCTGGGGTTCGGGAGGGAGGCAGGTCTGGGCCCTGTGGCCCGAGAGGCCCCCAAGCACGGCCACTGCGGGGGAGGCAGCCAAGCACCAGGCTGGGGGGGTGGGGGCAGAGGGTCTGGGGGCCCAGGGGGTCTGGGGATCCAAGAGGCTTCTGATGAGAACGTGGAGCAGAGGCTGGGTTCACCGTCCTGGCGGCCAGAGGGGAGCAGGCCTGGCACCAGCGATGGGGGGCTGGGCAGGGGATGGCTTCCTGTAGGGCAGGGGGCGTGCGGGGGTGGGGGGTGGGGGTGAAGGGGGTGGGCGCTGGACCCAGACGGCCTGCCTTCTCTCCTGGCTCTGACACCAGCTGAGTGACTGTCTCACAGGCGCCTTCGGCCGGGCCGGGAGCCGCCGTGCGTCCAGGTGCCCCCGAGGACAGTCCCGGCTCCTGGAGGGAGTGCTGCCCGTGGCCAGCCTCCGGCGGAGGGAGGCGGCATCGCCCAGGGAGGGCGTGAAAGATCGGCCCCGCTCGGCTGAGGGCCTGCCCCTGAGCGAGTCCCCGTCCTGTCACCAGCTCCCGCTCCCCTGTCCGTCCGGCTCCGTGAACACAGACAGACAGTCCACACGCCCAGGACATGGTCGGGGGTTCGGCCATGGCGGCCGGAGGGAGGGAAGCCCTCCTGGGCCAGGAGGCAGGGCTGGTGCTGAGCCAATGCCACCTCCCAGCCACCTTTAGGGAAGAGAAGGCAGGGCCCCGGGTGATGTGAAAGAAGAAAAGGGAAACAGACCCTAAAATGCGAGCTGTGTCCCCCCTCCCAACAACAGCAGACAGGAGAGGGGCCCCGGCTGAGCCCAGTGGATAAGACGGAGGGACCCCGAAAAGTGATTTTAAACTTTTGTTCATCGAGAGGAGAACTGGTCTGTCTTTCTTTTTTTCTTAAAAAATAGATATATTTTATTGATTTTTTACAGAGAAGAAGAGAGAGGGACAGAGAGTTAAAAACATCGATGAGAGAGAAACATCGATCAGCTGCCTCTTGCACACTCCCTACTGGGGATGTGCCCTCAACCAAGGTACAGATCCTTGACCCTAATCGAACCTGGGACCCTTGCGTCGGCAGGCTGACGCTCTATCCACTGAGCCAGACCGGCCAGGGCAGCACTGGTGTTTCTGTTAAGCATCCGAGAGCAGGACTTTCCCCTGACTTTCTCGGAGAGGGTGCTTTCCTGTTCATTTTGTTTCTCAGGAGGGAGGCTGGGCTCGGCTTCTCGCTTGTTGCTCTGCGGGTGCAGAGCTCGGCCTGTGCCCTGGTGGGCGCCAGGAGCGGTGAGGCCGTGTAATCCCCCCCAAAACTCACTGCTCCCGGCCAGGGTTTCTCAAAGGGGGCCCCACGGCCTGCTCCTGAGGAATAAACCCCGGGGTCTGACAGGGTCGAGGGATGCCGCGCGAGGGCCACGTGACGTGGTTGTCCACGGTGACTGTTGCCATAGTGAATCCTGCAGGAAGGGACCTGGTTTCACTTTGTTTAGAATCATCTTTTTTGATCCCAGAACTCCTCTTGGCAGAGCACCAGTAAGTACAGAAGACAGTGTGACAGCTCGTCTTAGCCTTTGATCTGGAGTCGTCCTGCTGGGCGGGGGCAGAGACGTGGCCTCTGTGGGCATCCCCATGGGGCAGAGGTGGGGTGTGGATATCCCCAGCCTTGGCCCAGCCTGAGGACAGACCACGCTCCTGGCCAACCCGACAGCCCGGAGGGGCAGCCCGACCAGCTGAGAAAACGTATCCCCTACACAGCAGTGTGAGGGTCAACCTAAAAAAAAAAATATATATATATATATATATATTGTATACACACACACACACACACACACACACACACACTTTTATTGATGTTAGAGAGGAAGGGAGAGGGAGAGAGAAACATCCGTGATGAGAGAGAGTCATGGACCGGCTGCCTCCTGCCCGCCCCCCACTGGGGATGGAGCCCACAACCCGGGCCTGTGCCCTGACCCGGAATCGAACTGAGACCTCCTGGTTCCTAGGTCGACACTCAACCCCTGAGCCACACCGGCCGGGCTGATGGTCAGCTTTTCAGGTGGACGGGCCTGCCCCATTGGCCCGCATTCCCATCGACAATGGGGGGGGGGCGTCTTCCTCGCCACCAGGCAGGCACACGCTCACGACGATGCCAGGTGCCACCTGACCCCGGGCGCCCTTCACACCCTGTCTTCCCTTCCCCCAGGAGCTGGTGGGCGAGGTTTTCAGAGAGATACTCAGCGAGGAGGAGGAGGAGGAGGAGGAGGAAGACTTCCGACTGGAAGGTACCGGCTCCATCGCTTTCTTCCTCCAGTGGGTGGGGTGGAGGGGGTGGGCCATCTGGTCTACCACACGCCCTGCACACCCTCCAGAACTCCGGGGTCCGGGGGGAGGGCAGGGCTCCCGGGGGAGGGCTGGGGAGCACGAGGGAAGTGTGGCTCCCACAGTGCAGGCCCCGAGGGGAGCAGGGCCACGGGGGTCCCCGGCCTGGCCGTGTGTGCGCTGTGGGGCTCGGATGGGCTGTTTGGCCTCAGCTGCTCCGTAGGGAGTGAGTGTAGTGGCTCCTCATGCCCCCCCCATCACCCTCCATCACCCAGCATCAGGCATGCCGGGAGTGCTCCCTCCCGGAGCTTCTCTGATCCCCATTCTCCACTCGTCCACTCCCCTGGAGCACACACATGTGGCCTCTCCCTCCCCACCCCACCCCCATCTCACCTCCCTCCTCTCGGCTGTCACGCCTCCTCTCTTGGAGGGGAAGCCTGCGTGGAAGACAGAATAGGACCCTGAGGAGGGTTTGGACCGGGTTGTTCTGGTCAGGCTGTTCGGCCCCTTCCTGCAGACAAAGGCTCACACAGGAGCCCGGGCCAGAAGGCGGTTAGAGCAGAAACACGCCACGTGCCACAGACGGCTGGTGATCCTGTATGGGACACCCGTCCCTGTGCATACGTGCAGATGCCTCGTGTGTGCTGCCGAGGAGCTAGAGGCCGAGACACAGGAGCAGCCGCTCCGGGCACAGGAGGAGGAGCCTCGGGCGGGGCGGGGCGGGGGGGTGGGGAGAATGGCGCAGGGGACCGTAGCGCTGGCTGTGACCGACGCCGTAACTTTTACAAGAATGCCGTCCACATTCCTGTGACACGCAGGGCGGAGGACGGCATTGAACAGGGGACACAGAAGTCAGTCCAGCCGTGCAAGAGGCTGCTCTGGCTGGGCCCTGTGCGGGCTGTGGCTCCCGGGCGCCCACCCCCGGGCGGGGGCCGGGCTGTGGCCGCAGGAGGCAGGTGCTGCGGTGTCTGGCCGCCGGGAGGCACCCACCTGGCCGGGGCGGGTGGGGGCGGGTGGGGGTGGGAGCGGTGGGTGTCCCCCGCGTGCCGGCCCGGAGGGAGGCGCGTGGAGTCCTGAATCTCCTCTTTGTCTTCCCGTTGGCCAAGCTCACGGCAGCTTGGCGGCCGGAGGGCTGTGCAGGGAGGAGGAAAGGCCGTCTGAGGCAGGAGATAAAAGGAGCCTTTAGCCGTCCCGGGAGAGGCGGGCGTTCGCTCCCGCGTTGTCTGTGAAGCCGGCCCTAATCCCGCGTCTTAGCGGCCGTAAGCGGCCAGCTGGGAGCACGCGGGAGGGGAGATTAAGGCCGGGCTGGGGCTGGGGGCATGGCGGGCTGCAGCTCCCTTTGAACTGCAGGGAGAACAAAGTCAACATCAAATGTCCGAGCCCGGCCGGTGGGGTCTGGCGGGCGGCACGGGGGCTCAGGGGAGTGGGGCCCTCCCTCGGCTGACCGGCTGACCCTGCCCCGGGTGCGAGGCCAGGGAGAGGTCAGCCCCACGCCTCCCTCCAGCACCTGCCGGACTTCCCAGCCTCGCCGGGGGCGGGGGACAAGGATGGAGGGTGCAGCCTGGCGCCAGTGGCCTGTGGTCTGAGGTGCTAAGGGGGAAGGGGGTGGGGGCCTGTGCAGAGAGTGAGGCCCTTGGCGTGCAAGCTCGAAGGACAGCCTGCTTTGGAGAAGGTGCCCCCTGCGTGGGAGCTGTGCTGGTGCGTGTTGTTTTGGGGGTCCATCTTCCTTTCTCTTTTTGGTTAATCCTCACCTGACGATATTTTCCCCATTGATTTTTAGAGAGCGGGGAAGAGGGCGGGGAGAAAGAGAGGGAGGAGATAGACACGGATGGGTTGCCTCCCACACGCACCCCAACCGGGACTGGGGATCAAACCTGCAACCCAGGCACGAGCCCTGGGTCAGGAACCGAGGACAGGACTCCGGCCTCGGGGTCCTCATTTGGGTGCCGACTGGGCGCCTGCAGAGGGTGGGGGCCCGGGAGCTGAGGCAGAGAGGCGCCCCCCGCTGTCTCCTGCGGAGGGGGCAGGTGGGCGGGCGCTGGCTCCTCTCCCTCCGCTCAGAGCCGTCGACCGCTGCGCCCCGCAGGCCTGGAGGCCCCGCTCAGCCCCACGGCGGCTCCACTCCGGTCTCCCCTTCAGGCAGCGCGGCCCGCGCGGCGGAGATGGCGGGTGTCACGTCCCCGGGTGCACAGGAGGGGGGGCGCTCCCGGCTTCAGGGGCTCGGGGTGAGGTTTTAAATCTGAATTTCATCCCAGCTTTCAGCTCGGGCGGGGGTGGGGAAGGGTGGGCGGGATGTGGTATTTGTAACCCAAAGAAGGCGTTCCCTCTCTCTCTCTCTCTCTCTCTCTCTCTCTCTCTCTCTCTCTCTCTCTCTCTCTCTCTCTCCTCCCTGCCCCAGCACGTCCCCCTCCCGCCCCAAACACATGTCCCTTCCCAGTCCGATCTCAGTGTCACAGCCAGAGGCCACACACCTGATGCTGCGGGGAGAGAAAGAGGCCGGAGAGCGTTTGTGGGGAGGGCTTCTCTCCGCCTTTTTTCTTTCAAAAAAAAAAAAAAGTTTCTACTGATTTCAGAGAGAGCGGAAGGGAGAAGGGGAGAGCAACATTCATGAGGAGAGAGAATCATGGATCTCATGGACCGGCTGCCTCCTGCACGCCCCCTGCTGGGGATCGAGCCTGCAACGCGGGCCTGTGCCCCGCCTGGGAATCAAACCCTGACTTCCTGGGTCATACCTAGGTCGGCGCTCAGCCCCTGAGCAAGACTGGCTGGGGTCGAGTTTGCTTTTTTTTTTTTTTTTTTTAATATATTTTATTGATTTTTTTTACAGAGAGGAAGGGAGAGGGATAGAGAGCTAGAAACATCGATGGGAAAGAAACATCGACCAGCTGCCTCCTGCACATCCCCTACTGGGGATGTGCCCACAACCAAGGCACATGCCCTTGACCGGAATCGAACCCGGGACCCCTCAGTCTGCAGGCCGATGCTCTATCCACTGAGCCACACTGGCTGGGCTCGAGTTTGCTTCTTAAGATCTGTCTCCCCTTTGGTCAAACGTGAGCAGCCACACACCCTGCGTGGCGTTAGCGAGAGGAGCCGGTGTGATGGCGTGGCCCTGGATTGCGAGAGGACACAGCCCTCGGCCGGGCGGATCTGGGCGTCTCCGGGACCCCGCTCCCCGGGGGAGAGCCTCCCGCCCAGCACGCGAGAAACCGTTTGGCCCGGAATGCGCACGCGATACCTTTCTCCTTTTACACACAGCAGATTAGCCGCCTCATTATATTTGGCACCGGCTAATATTAAACTCATCTGCCTCCCCTCCGACAGCTGCTGCGGGGGGCTGGGGCGGTCCGGCCCGGGATGGAGGTATTTGTGGCAGATCATCTGCGCGAGGACCATTAAAAAGGTCGAGTGTGCGGAGTCCGGCGAGGAGGCCCGGCCGGTGCGACCTCTGACGTGGGGCTGGCTGAGCGCACGCCGGGCTCCTGGGCCGCAGAGGGGCCTGCCGCGCCTCGGGGTGCCCTGGCCACTTCCGGTCTTTGTTGGGGCTCACGTCGTCACTGCCCCGTGTTCTCATTTGCGGCTTCTTCCAAAGTTCTGGATTGTGTCACAGTAACGGCCGTTGCTGTACCATTCAGGTCTAGATTTAAAATATTGTATAGAGGTACTAAAGGCTCGGTGCATGGATTCGTGCACCATGGGGTCCCTCTCGTCCTGGCCTGCCGGGATCCGGCAGAAACATGCTCTTTGACATCCCCCAAGGGGCCCCAGATCGTGAGAGGACACAGGCCACGCTGAGGAACCCCACTGGTACACGATTGGAGCCGGGGAGGGACAGTGGGAGGGCTCCAGGGCGTGTCAGGCTGGTCTCACCCAGTCCCGATCGGCCAGACCCTAGCAGCAAGCTAAGCTACCTGTTGGAGCACTGCCCTCTGGTGCTCAGTGCTCGGCACAGTGACTGATCTAATGAATGGTCGGACACTTAGCATATTAGGCTTTTATTACACAGGATATTTTTATTGATTTCAGGGCGGAAGGGAGAGGGAGAGAGAATCATTGATGGACTGCCTCCTGCACGCTCTCTACTGGGGATGGAGCCTGCAACCCAGGCCTGTGCCCTGACCGGGAATCGAACAAACTGACCTCCTGGTGTATGGATCGACGCTCAACCCCTGGGCCACGCCGGCTGGGCAGGGTCTGGATTTTAGCCTACGTGCAGGATTCCCCTCACTCCCTTTCCCATGCCAGTTCCAGGCTCGGTCAGGCCAGGCTGTGTGGTGTGCTTGCTGTGTGGCCTTCCCCGTGTCCGCCTGGGCATTTGGTGCAGTGAGCACACCGTGGTGGTGGTGGTGGTGGTGGGGGTGGTGCTGGTGGTGGTGGTGGTGGTGGTGGTGGACTGTCTGCTCTGGGCCCGTATGGCCCGTGCCGTCCACGTGGGCAGCCCAGGGCCCGTGGCCAGCAGCCGCAGCCCTGCAGACACTTTGGACGTGGCTGTCCCCTGCGAAGCCACCAGAAGACCGGAGCCAAGACCGTACGGGATCGAGTGCTGGACGGGATGAGTTTATTTACTTGCTTTTAAATACATTTTTTATTGATTTTAGAGAGGAAGGGCGAGAGAGAGAGAGAGAGAGAGAGAGGGAGAGAGAGAGAGAGGAACATCCATGATGAGAGAAAAATCACTGATTGGCTACTTAGGATTGCGCCCGAAACCCGGGCTTGTGTCCTGACCGGGAATCGAACAGACTGTGACCTCCTAGTTCTCAGGCCGGCGCTCCCCACTGAGTCACGCCGGCCCAGCTCGCTGGGCTGTTTGGACAGCATCCCGCTGGGGACAAATAGCGTTTGTGCAGATCGGGAGAAGGGGCCCTCCCTCCTCTCGACACCTTTCACCGTCTGTCCAGGAATGTCCCACACCGTCCGCAGATGGGTGCCGCCAGCACGGGCACGCACCACCCGGAGCTGTACCCGCACGGCCTGCTGGGCACAGCCAGGCTCCCAGGGACCCCACAAGGCTCTGTCCCCGCGGCTGGCGAGGGAGGACGAGCCTGCTGAGGAGGGTGGGGTGGGGCAGAGCCGTTTCCTCTCACAGCCGTCCTCCCGCCCTGCTGCTGGGTGGTGCCAGCTGTCAGCACCTCGGGCTGGGTCGGCCGTGCCATCCTGCTCCCCGGTCGCCGCTGTGCCAGGGCAAACAGTTCCCGGAAAGTGGCGTGGCTCTCCGGCCTGCCGTCCCCCTCGAGCCGGGGCCTCCTTCCCCGGGGCCCGCGGGCGGGTGCAGGGACAGTGTTTACACCCGGCTCAGCCGCTCAGCCTAGCCATGTCCCTGTCCCTCCTCTCTGTCCCTGCGTCCCCGCCCTCTCCTCGCTCTCCGTCCTCCCGGCCCCTCCTCTCCTTAAACGGGGGGAGGGGCGAGGGAGGGGCCGCCTTTGATCTCAGCGGAGGAAAGAAGTCTGTTCTGTCCAGGCTTTTGGCGAACACAACAAACAGTGTTTAAAATTTAACTTTGCTTAATTAATTAGTAATTCTGTTTTAATGCTGTCTGATCTCCCTCCAAAAGGTATTCTGGAGCCCGAGAAAGGGAACATCAAAGGGAGCGGGTGAGGATGGTCAAGTAATGCATTTAATCTGGCAGTCGCCCGGGGTGGAGCAGTGCCAGGCGCGGGAGCGCGGGGCGGCATCGTCTGGTAAACACCGCGGCCCCTCTCCTCTCCTCTCCTCTCCTCAGTCAGCTCCTCTCCTCATGGCCCAGAGTGAGGAGGGACAGAGAGGAGGGATGGGGAGCCGTTTTGGAAGAAAAGGAGCTCCGCCCGGCCGGTGTTGCTCAGTGGTGAGCGTCGACCTATGAACCAGGAGATCATGGTTCAATTCCCAAGCAGGGCATATGTCCAGGTTGCAGGCTCGACGCCCTAGTGAGGGGCAGAGCAGGAGGCAGCCGATCCGTGATGCTTCTCTCTCATAGATGTTTCTCTCCCTCTCCTTTTCCCTCTCCCTCTCCCTTCCTCTCTCTGAGATCAATAAAAACATATTTAAAATATTTAGAAAAAGAAAAGGAGCCCTCACCACCGCTGCGCCAGACTCCTCTGAGCTGAGAGCGGGTTCGAGGGAGGCAGCACTGACATGTCTGTCCCTCCACGGCTGTGTGCGTGGTGGGCAGGTGTGCGTGCCCCAGGCTCCCCTGGGGCAGGGGAGTAGCAGGTGGGACCCAGCCTGCGCCCTGCAGGTCCCGGTACCCGGAGCAGCTGAAGGCTGCGCTCCCCTACAGCGCCGTCACAGACTTCTCTGCAGAGGGCGGGGGGGACGTTAGACTCCGTGGACCGGACTGTCTCTGTTGCAATGACTCCACTCTGCCATCCTGGAGGGAAGCAGCCATACACAACGTGTGTCCGCGCGACTGTGTCCCAATAAAACTTTATTTATGAAAACAGGAGGCGGCCAGGTTTTGGCTCACGGACGGGGGCGTAGCTTGCCAGTCCTGTTCTACGTCACCCAGGGGTTCTCCAGAGGGAAGAGAGAAGCTTTGTTTTCCTCCTCCTCTGACCCTTTTCTCCCCTTTCTGCCCACTTCCCCTCTTTCACATGAGCGGTGTCTCTGTGGCTGTGCCTTGCCATGGAGGCACGAGCAGACCCCCCTGCAGTTGTGCCCTCCAAGAGGTCATCTCTGGGAAAACAAGTCCCTGAGCTGAACAAGGAGGAGGGCGAGACAGAGAAGGGGCTCAGAGTCTGGTGCCAAAGCCCGTCTCCATTATGGTTTTGTCACTGAGGTTGGACCCTGGCAGCCTGTGGGAGGCACCACTCTCCCTTCTCCAGCCCACCCGCGAGCCAAGTGGTGGGTGGTGGGTGGATGGATGGTGGGTGGTGGGTGGATGATGGATGGATGAATGGTAGATGGATGATGGGTAGATGGATGGATGGTGGGTGGATGGTGGGTGGTGGGTGGATGATGGATGAATGGAAGGATGGATGGATGAATGGTACATGGATGATGGGTAGATGGATGGATGGTGGGTGGATGGCTAGATACAGAGGAAGGATGAATGGATGATAGATGGATGGATGGTTGGATAGTGGGTAGATGGATGGATGGTGGATGGATGGATGATAGATGAAGGATGGATGATGGTTAGATGGATGGTGGATGAGTGGATGGATAGCTAGATATGGATGGATGGATGGGTAGATGGGTGGGTGGGCGGAGGGTGATTTGTTCTGCCCGGGGATGGCTGGGGCGGGTGCTGGTTTGGCCTGGTTTGGTTCCAGAGGGTCCATGTGGTCGTAGAAGCATGACCCCTGAGTCCCGCCCTAACCCTGGCCTTGGTGTCTGCGAGGCTTTCACCGGTGGGTTCTCGGACACCTGCCTCCTCCAGCCATTGGATGGGGACGGTGAGAGGGTGAGAGGCCACCTTTGGTGGGGCAAAGGGGGCGCTGACTGTCCTTGTTCCGGGCCCCGGGCCCCTGGCCCCGGGCAGATAGCTCCCAGTCCTGCTCCCCTGTGTGCCCGGCTCCTGCTGGGAAGGGCCCCCTCCAGGGGCGACTGGCTGGCTTTCTGAGCCAGGATGGGGTGAGGCCCTGCTGACGGAGGACAAGCCAGGCCACCCCGGTCTTCAGAGAAGACGTGACGTGGGGCGGGTGGGAGTGACGCCCCCCTCCCAGGAGAGGAGAGGGGAGAGAGGTGGGGGGACCTGACGGAGGACAGCGGTTTCGGCTCGGAGGGGAGAGGGGGCTTCCCCGGTGGGAGCCGGGACAGAGCTTTCTTTTCTTGGGTTTTATCAAGTGGAACTTGAAAGGCACCATTGAACCTGAAGGTGGTTTTCTGATTACTTCCCTTTGAACTTGGAGTTCGGTCTCGATAAGCCTGGCCCCTCACATCTCCAGCCAGGACCTGCGCGCGGGGAACTGCCGCTTTGAAGACGGAGCTGGCCTTTGTCTCTCTTCTTCCTTTCCCTTCCCTCCTCCGCGGCCCCCACCCGCCCCCAGTGGTGTGTGTGGGGTTAGGGGGGCATAAAGGATGTTGCAGGCCGTGACACAGCCTGTCCCCGATGGGCAGAGGATGGGTGTGCCCTGGAGGGGCCCCTGGAGCCACTGGATAGCCCGGGGGCAGAGCAGCTTGGACTCCAGCAGGCGGGCCGGGGGCAGGGAGGCCCAGCACGAAGCCCCAGCTGCATCCTCCCTGCCTCCCCCGCAGTGGCCCTGCCCCCCGAGAAGACCAGCGGGCTGGCCAGTGGCGATGAGAAGAGGATGGAGAAGCCGAGCGAATCCTGTCCGGGCTCCAAGAAGCAGCTGAAGCTGGAGGTAAGTTTCCTTTCCGGGCGCTGGGCCTGGGGAGGGTGGTTTTCTCTCCTCCGTGGTGCGTCTCTAATTCTCCTCCTCCTCCTCCTCCCCCCCCTCCTTTTCCTCCTCCCCCTTCTCCTCCTCCTCCTCCTCCTCCTCCTCCTCCCCCTTCTCCTCCTCTTTCTCTTCCTTCTCCTCCTCCCCTTCCTCCTCCTCCCTCTCTTCCTCCTCCTTCTTCTTCCTCCTCCTCCTCCTCCTCCTCCTCCTCCATATTTTTTATTGATTTCAGAGAGGAAGGGAGAGAGAGAGAGAGAGAGAGAAACATCCATGATGAGAGAGAATCATGGATTGGCTGCCTCCCGCACGCTCCCTACTGGAGAGAGAGCCCGCAACCCAGGCACGTGCCCTTGACTGGAATTGAACCTGGGACCATTCAGTCTACAGGCCGATGCTCTATCTGCTGAGCCACACTGGCCAGGGCTCGGTGGTGCTTTTGGAGGAGGACGCTGAGGCTGGCCAGATGTGGAGGCCGCTCAGCTCCTCGTGGACAGGAGAGGGAAGGCCCGGGCCTGGACATCCTGTATCCTTGTGAGCCCGGGGATGTTTCTGGAGCGGGGCAGGCTGCCTGCAGGACTGTCCGTGTCCATGTGGGGCGCTCCCCTCAGAAGTCCAGGAGGAGGGGGTGGCAATAGCTGCCAACCTGTCTCTGAACCTCAAACCTGTGGAGCTAAGCAGAGGGCCAGGGAGAGGGAATCAGTTAGACTCTATGAGTGCATGCATGAGTGTGTGGGCACGCATGTGTGTGAACACATGTGCAAATACACGAGTGTGTATGAGTAGATGTGTATGTGGACACACATGTGTGAGAGCATGTATGCACACATGCACAGGTACGTATGCATATATATGTATGTGTATGCGCATGCATTTGTTAGCTTGCATGTGTGTGAGCATGTGCACATGTGTGTGTGTGTGTGAATAGGTGAGTGCGTGCCCATCTGAAGGTGTGTGTGTGTGTGCAGGTGTGTGCGTGCCTGTCTGTAGGTGTGTGTGTGTGTGTGTGTGTGTGCAGGTGTGTGCGTGCCCATCTGTAGGTGTGCGTGTGTGAGTGCCCGTGTGCGGGGTGAGTGCGGTGCCTCCTGAAGCACTTCCTCAGAGCGGAGCGGGCACTTGGCAGGCATCAGACGGACGTGCCACAACTGAGGGAAGCGTGGCTTTGAGCTCAGCGTGGCCGCGGAGCGGGGGAGCCGGCCTGCGCTGGAGGCTGGGGGCGCGGCGCTGGCCATGCTTTCTCTAGCGACCGGGCCGGTGCCTGCGCCTGGGGGGCCGAGCCGGCCGGGCAGGGCGTGGGCAGGGTGGTCCGGCCTCTCTGCCGGTTCTCACAGAACCTGTGGACCTTCAAGGCCCTTTCCCGACGCTCCTTCCCAGTCAGCCGTCCTTCCAGAACTCTCTGTGTCCAGCGGCCCGGGCACTGCCCGCCAGTGGCAGTGCTCACTGGACAGCTCTGTGTGCCAACCAGGTCCACACCGTCCCCAGCCCCCCAAAGCAGAGTGAGACCAGGGTCTGGATGACAGGGAGCAGGGAAGGAGGGGGCCAATGAAGGGAAAGGGGTGGCTCACAGCTAGGGCAGCGGAGGCTCAGTCCCGGGTGCCCTCAGACTTGTCCTCCGGAGGGCGTGGAGGCTGGGGTCCCCCGCACCCTTCGCCCCGCCCTGGGCATGCAGTCCCTGGCTTTTCCTCCCGGCTGCCCTCACTCAGAAGCCAGGGGCTGGAGGAGGGAGGTGGGACCTGCCCCCCCACAGCCACGATGAGCACCGAGGGTGGAGGGCAGGCCAGTGGCTGCTCCAACACGGCTGTGAGGGTGGCACCGCCGTTTTCTGTAACTCACACAGGGAAACTGAGGCTCGGGGAGACACGCCCTGGGGGAGGGCACACAGCGGTGGGGCCACACGGGCTGCTGCCTGAAGGACCTTTAGTTCTTTGTGCCCACCCTTTCCCTGCCTTCTGGCCAGGGGCCACCCCGGGAGCCGCAACACAGCTTCCCAAGTTACCATGCTCGTGTGTGTGTGTGTGTGTGTGTGTGTGTGTGTGTGCGCGCGCGCGTGCAGGTGTGTATGTGGCTATGTGCACACACATGCATGCATGTGTGTGTGATGCACACAGGTATAGGTGTGCACCGGTGCAGGTGTGAGCACACATGAGTGCACACAGGCGTACATGTGTACACACGTGTGGGCATACATGTGCATGCATGTGCAGGCATATGGGAAGGGTAGCTTCTAGCCCTCAGTCCACGCTAAGTCTTTCCAAGGCCACAGAGCCCCTCTCAGACCCTGCCCCGTGTGCCCTTAACCTGTGAGGTCCCGGAGCCCGTCTGACCCCCTGCGGGCATCTCTCCCAGCCAAACCGCCCACCGGCCTGGCCGCTCTCCCTGGCCAGCCGCATCCTGGTCCTTACTCTGCAGGGGGGTGGGGGCAGCCCTGAGCCTGGCCCCCCGGTGCTCCGGCCGCTGGGTGACTGCACCGCGTGCTGTCTGTCTCTCTGTCCGTCCAGGAGCTGCAGTGTGACGTGTCCGTGGAGGAGGACAGCCGGCAGGAGTGGACCTTCACCCTGTACGACTTCGACAACAATGGCAAGGTCACCCGGGAGGTGAGTGTGCCGCCTGCCCTCTGGCCCGGGGCACAGGGCACAGGCCCTGGGCCAGGCGACTCTGCCCGTGCCCTCCGCGAAGGCCGGGCGTGTGCCTCCAGGGGGACTGAGGCAGGAGGTGCAGGGAGCGGGGTGGTGGGAATGAGGCGAGGCGGGCGCTGAGCCCCGAGGCTGCTGGGGGGAGGCACGCCCCCCCTGCTTCAGACGGCGTGGTTTCCGCCTCCCCCCGCCCCCAGGACATCACCAGCCTGCTGCACACCATCTACGAGGTGGTCGACTCCTCCGTCAACCACTCCCCGGCGTCCAGCAAGACGCTGCGGGTGAAGCTCTCGGTGGCCCCCGACGGGAGCCTGGGCCGGAGGAGCCTCCTGCTCCAGCACCCCGGTGAGGGCGGGCGAGGGCGGCGGGCGCCGGGAGCTCCCCTGCCGGCAGGCGGGGCGGTGGGGCCCTCGAAGGGGTGGGGCTGGGATCCGGAAAGGGTTCCAGGTGGAGGGCTGGAGGGAGCACCGCAGGGCTGTGTGGCCGGCAGCCAGGGCGGAGGCTGTGTGTGCTGGGGTGGGAGGACGGGCCGTGGAGCCCAGCCCTGCAGTGCGGGGAGGCGCTGAGCAGGCGGGGCGGGGTCCCTGGGAGACCCCACTGTTTGGTCCTGGCTCGGAGAAGCCTGGCCATCGAGCCGTTGGGCAGCTGCGGGGCCGGCCCCGGAGCCGTGGGGGGCAGGACGGAGCTGCTCACCGGCTGGTCGGGGGTGGGACTCAGACCTGCAGAGCGCCAGGCCCCGAGCGGAGACCAAGCCGGCGGAGGAGCTGCGCAGCTGGGACAAGAGGCAGCGGGCCCCGCTCAGGTACGGCGGGCGGGGCGGGGCGGGGCGGGGTGGGGGGAGGCGGGCAGCCGGGCACCGGAGCACGGTACGCACCAGCTGTGTGCCCGCGTCTGAGGGGTCCCAGCAGGAGGCTTCCGTCTGCGCTCCCTCCAGGGGCAGCGGTTTCAGACGACAGGCTCACAACGTTTGATTTTTTTAAATAGCTGAGTCTTGCCCGGCCAGTGTGGCTCAGTGGTTGAACATCAACCTATGGGTCAGGAGGTCACGGTTCCATTCCCGGCCAGGGCACAGGCCCGAGTGTGGGGCAGCAGGAGGCAGCTGATCTATGACTCTCTCTCTCATCACGGATGTTTCTATCTCTCCCTCTCCCTTCCTCTCCGAAACCAATAAATTTTTTTAAAATAAAAAATAACTGAGTACAGGCCTACATCGCTTTATCCAAACGCTTCAGGCCATAGAGGGTTGGCATTTGGTGTCGGCTGCTTTGCAAAGGTGCTCACACTGACCCCTGACCCCTGCTCTGGGCCTGTTTTTGCCAGAAAGGCCAGGGCGGCCAGGCAGGGGTCTGTTTCCATGGACCGCTCCGTCCCTCCCACCGTCCCCGGGACCCAGAGGGAAGCAGCAAAGGGTCCGAAAGGCTTGGTCCGTGGCTTCCCAGGAGGCTGTGGGCCGCCCTCCCCTCGCCAGCGCCCCCCCGCCCCCACCCGCCAGCACCTGCCACTCACTCGCCTTCCTGTGACAGGTTCCAGGGGGACAGCCGCCTGGAGCAGCCCGGCTGCTACCACCCGTGCGTGGATGAGAACATTGAGAGGAGAAACCACTACTTAGACCTCGCTGGGATAGAGAACTACACGTCCCAGTTCGGGCCTGGTAAGGGGGCTGAGGGGGCGTGGTCTGGCTGAAAGGAGGCGTGGCCGGGATGAGGGGGCGTGGTCAGGCCGCAGGTGAGTCAGGTGGGTAGTGGTCACCATCCCCTCTGGGCTGGGGGAAGGCAGAGCTTGGATGGGTCAGGTTCAGGATGTTATTGGGGGCAGTGACATTAAAAACGTTAAAAAAAAAAAAAGTGATGCTGGCTGGTGTGGCTCCGTGGCTGAGCATTGACTCCTGAACAAAGAGGTCCCTGGTTCGGGTCCCGGTCAGGCACATGCCCGGGTTGGGGGTTCGATCCCCGATGGTGCAGGAGGCAGCCGATCCATGCTTCTCTGTCAAGAATAGCCGGCCTTGCACAGTCCTGGCGAACCAGGGCGGAGGTGATTTGTGGGGCGCGGTGCAGGGCTGCGCATAGTAGGTGCTCATGGAATACCTGTTGCCTTGGTCCCCAGGCTCCCCGTCCGTGGCCCAGAAGTCAGAACTGCCCCCCCGCGCCTCCAACCCGACGCGGTCCCGCTCCCATGAGCCAGAAGCCGTCCACGCCCCCCACCGGAAGCCCCCGGGCGCGGACCCCGGCCCGGCCCACGGCCCGGACGCCCCGCCCGCCAAGGCCCTGGAGGCCCAGCAGCGGCTCCGCGGCGCCCAGGATGGGAGCAGGCACTTTGTGAGGTCCCCCAAGGCCCAGGGCAGGAACGCGGGCGTGGGCCACGCGGCCAGGGGGCCCAGGGGCAAGCCGCCTCCGGGACCCGCCGTGCCCGCGGCGTCCCCGGCCGCCCACCCGGCCGCCGGCCCGGGCCTCCTCCCCGCCCCGGCGCCCCTCGGGCACCGGAAGCACCGGCACCGGGCCAGGGAGGGCCCCCCGGGGGGCCGGGCCCCGCAGGCCCCCGTCCGGGACCACGTGCGGGAGCCGCCCGCGCCGGCCGCGGTGGGCCATGACGGCCAGGCCGGCCAGGCGGTGCAGAGACACGAGCACCACCACCACCATGAGCACCACCACCACTACCACCACTTCTACCAGACCTAGGCCCGGCCCTGCCTCACCAGGGCCCTCCCCCCAGGCAGCCTTATCCTATTAATTATTGTTATCCCGACGGCTGTTGTTATTAATAATTATTGTTACTCCACTAATACCCGGCTCGCCTCCGTGCAGACGGCCCATGGACACACAGAACTAACCCTTATTTATACGCCGTGCGGACTGTGGGCCGGGGCGCCGCCCGGAGACGCCGGAGGCTCCCTCAGGTTCCAGCTGTGGTTTCTCGCAGGCCCACGCCCTTCCCAGCCCCCTGCCCCCCACCCCCGACCCCCCACTCCGCCCGGAGCCCCCCGGCCAGCGCCCTGCCGCGCCCCATGGCTCCCGGAGAGAGAGCACTGGGCCCGGCCCGGCTCCCGGAGCCCTCGAACTCTCCGAGAAGATACACAGCTGCTACCTCTTGGTTTATTCCGACGTCCTCCTGCCCTTCCTTCCCGGCGGTCACGTGCTCCCAGGACCTCCGAGGACAGCGGGCTCCGCGCGCCGTCCCAGCCGCTGTGTGTGTGTGTGTGTGTCCACCCAGAGGCCTCCGCTGCCCTTTCTGTGGGATCGTTCCCGAAGAGACACGTCTCTGCTCCCTCCTCCTCTCTCTCCTCTTCCTCCCCCTCCTCCCCCTCCCCCTCCTCCTCTCCCTCCTCCTCCTCCTCCTCCTCCTCCTCCTCTCCTCCTCCTCCTCCTTCTCCTCTCCTCCTCCTTCTCCTCCTCCTCCTCCTTCTCCTCCTCCTCCTCTCCTCCTCCTCCTCCTCTCCTCCTCCTCCTCCTCTCCTCCTCCTCCTCCCTCCCCCTCCTCCTCCTCCCCTCTCCTCCCCTCCTCCTCCTCCTCCTCCTCCTCTCCTCCTCCTCCTTCCTCCTCCTTCCTCCTCCTCTCTCCTCCTCCTCCTCCTCCTCCTCTCTTCCTCCTCCTCCTCCTCCTCCTCCTCCTCGTTCCCTTTCCTCCTCCTCCTCCTCTTCCTCATCCTCCTCCCTTTCCTCCTCCTCCTTCTCCTCCTCCTCCTCCTCCTCCTCCTCCTCCTCTTCCCTTTCCTCCTCCTCCTCCTCCTCCTCCTCCTCCTCCTCCTCCTCATCCTCCTCCCTTTCCTCCTCCTCCTCCTCCTCCTCATCTTCCTCCCTTCCTCCTCCTCCTCCTTCTCCTCCTCCTCTCCTCCTCATCCTCCTCCCTTTCCTCCTTCTCCTCCTCTCCTCCTCTCCTCCTCCTCCTCTCCTCCTCCTCCTCATCCTCCTCCCTTTCCTCCTCCTCCTCCTCCTCCTCCTCCTCCTCCTCCTCCTCCTCCTCCTCCTCCTCGCTTCTTCGGAAAGATACGCACACCGTTCAGACTGCCCTGAAACAGACTTCCGCTCTGGAACCCTCCGGGAGGGAGCCGGCCAGGCCGGGCCTCGGGGAGTCGCCGGCTGAGGGAAGACGTGGGAACCTCGAGGTCTGCCCTCCGCAGACATCCACGCGGCCGGCGGGTCCCTGCTGGCTCTCTGTACCCATAGCTAGACGCCGCCGTCCGTTCCGATGTATCTTTCCATAAATATACACTCTCAGGTACGCCCCCGTGTGCCCGCGTCCCTGCTTCCCCGGTCCACACCCTCCGCGCCCAGACACGGGGGCCGCATCCGATGCCAACAGCCGCTCGCCTGTCCTCGGCGTCCCTTATGTGGTCCGGGTCAGAGGTTTGGACAGGCCTGCTGGGGCGCGGGAGCAGCGAGGCGGGGCAGTGGCCGGAGCTGGCCCGGGGCGTGCTCCGAAGGGCCGGCCTTTGTCCGATGGAAGCCTGGAGGGGCCGCTCTCAGCCATCGGGTCACTCACAAGGCGCTCGCTGAGGAGAGTTTGAGAAAGGAGGGTGCCACCCAGTGCGGGCAAAGCTGGCAAGAGGGCAGGATGGAGGCCAGCACTGCGGCCACTCCCAGCCTGCAGGGGTTGGGGAAGGGGGTCCCCCTGAGGAGCAGTGAGCCATGCCGCCAGGGACCCTCCCTCTCCTGCCTGCCCTGCGTCCTGTCGTGCTGAAGCCATGGGGAGCTGGAGGGTGGGGGAGCTGCTGATGGGGTTCCCCTGCAGGCGCGAGGGCCGGGGGAGGGGTGAGGAGGGGGCCGGGGTCCTTCCAGGCGGAGCAGAGAGGGCAGAGTGAACCCAGCTGCCTGCCTGTCTGATGCTTGGTTGCTCAGCTGCCACCCCTTTTCCAGCTTCTGATTTGGGCTCCAGGGGGTTGGCAAGGAGTTCTTTTTGAAAATACTGGGCTTAGTTTTTGTCCCCAAGTGAACCGTGTGCGTGGGCATGGCTTAATACAGTTCATCCTCAGGACAACCCTCCGAGGAGCCAGCGAAGCGCGGGGAGCTGGAGCTCAGAGAGGTTGAGTGACTCACCTGAGGTCACACAGCAGGTGGCAGAGCTGGGGTCCTAGTCCTCCCCCAAGGTCCCTTAACCACTGCATCCAGGCTTCTGACAGTCGGTATCCAACACAAACTGATGGCGATGTAACCAAAGCCAGGAAGGCAGGGAGGGAGGAGGGGGGAGGGAGGAGGGAGACCCCCACCCCCTAGTGTGTTTTGTCACCGTGTGGGGGCTGCCAGCTCTCTGGACCTCACAACCAAGTAGGAAAGGATCCTACACTAGGCTATTAGTCTGCAAACCATGGTTCGCGAGCCACATGTGGCTCTTTGGCCCCTTGAGTGTGGCTCTTCCATAAAATACCAGGGCCTTCGGAGAGTCTATGTTGAAGAAGTGGCATTAGACGTTTAAGTTTAAAAAATTTGGCTCTCCAAAGAAATTTCAATCGTTGTCCTGTTGATAGTTGGCTCGGTGGACTGATGGGTTTGCCGACCACTGCACTAGGCCAAGCCATGGGGAGCTGGAGGGCGGGGACCTCGAGAATATGCTGATTGGTTGGGCTCAGAGCTGGTACCCATCCCTGGGCCAATCACCGTAGCCCACTGGGATCACGTGGCCAACCTGTGGCAAGGGGCGGGGTCTGCACAGAAGGAGAGGAAGGATGCTGAGCGGACCTGTGCTCCTGGTCCCCCAGGCCCAGAAATGCTGCAACCATGGCAACGAACCAGGTATGGGGTCCGCACAGGGAGCCTCCCTGTGGCCTGGCGACTGGGGAGCGGCTCCTCGGCCCCAGCCCCACGGCTGTCAGGAGGCTTTCCTGGCCACTGAGATTTACTTTAAAAACCACTTTGAGAAATGGTGGCGTGCGCAGATAAAAGACCCAAAGAGCCCAAAAAGGTGTGCGTGTAAAGGACCTGCTTCCGGCACCTCTGACTCCCTGCTCTGGGGCCGCTCCGTGTGGCCTGGTGGCTGGAGCACAGACCCGGGGCCGGGCCGCCTGGATTCAGTCCTCTCTGAGTGCCCCACGTGGGACCAGGGCCTCTCGAGCCTCAGTTTCCCCTTCAGGAAAGGGGATCAGAAAAGACTCCCCCACAGAGCTGGGTGAGAATTCACTGAGCTAAAGCTGCGGTTGGAGCACGTACATGAATAAATGCATTTAGATACGGTATCTCCCCATGTGGAGTTTGTTAGCTTTTTAAAAAGACGCTGTTTTTGTTCTTCTCAGAGCTGTGTTAGGTTTGTAACAAAACGGAGAGGAAGGGACAGAGGCCTGATACCCTCCCTCCCCCCTCGCCCCTCAGGCACAGTTTCCCCGCTGTCACCATCAGCCCCGGAGAGGTGCATTTCTACAATATATGTTCGTATGGATCTCAGAGAAGAAGAGAGAGAGAAACATCAATGATGAGAGGGAACCACCAATGGGCTGCCTCCCGCACCCCCCCACCCTCCCACTGAGGATCAAGCGTGCAACCCGGGCATGGGCCCTTGACCAGAATGAAACCCTCTGTCCACAGGCCGATGCTCTACCCACTGAGCCAAACTGGCTAGGGCCAGAGTGGCATTTTTTTCTCTCTAAGAATGAACCTACATGGACACATCATAATCAGTGCTGGCGTTTGTTGTAAATCCCATGGATAGCGACGTGTATCCATCATTATAATATCACACAGAATATTATCAATATAATATCACACAGGATATTTCCACTAAATACTCTGCCCCATTGATCTCTCCCTTACCCCCCCCCCCTTTTGTTATTTTTAAAAGTATTTCAAACACAATTTTGTAACAGAAAACATTGTGTCCCAGCGACTCTGACCTCCCCCAGCTTTCCAGAAGCGGCCTTTGCGATGTTTATTTCGGATCTATTTTTAAGGAGGAAAACGTGGCAGCCATGGCCTCATCCCCCTTCCAGGCCCAGGCCTTTATTTTTACCCGAGCGGGGCCGTGTGTGTGTGTGTGTGTGTGAGCTCGGCCTGGTCTCTGTGACCTCATGTCTTTGGCGACCTGGCTCCCTGGGCCCTTCTCTCCAACAGCTGCTCAGACTCGGGGCGGCGGCCCCTCCCCTCCCTGCAGGCGTGTGGGGCTCTCGCCTCAGTGCCCACCAGCAGAGCTCAGGAGCACTGCCTTCCCTTCGGATGCTGTCGTTCCTGGCCCCCAGAAGAAGCTGCACCCCGGGATTAGCAGTGGAAGGAAGAGGAGAGAGGAATGCGGGGGGACCACAGGGGGCAGCAGTGCTCCAGGGGGACTCTGAGCCCATGCTTTGTCCCCCCGCCCTGCCCCGCACTAGAGCCTGGGCCTGGCCCCCAGCTCAGCACCAGCGCGGGGCCCTGAGCCGTTGTCGGGGAGACCGGACTCCTGCCTCACCCACAGGCACTCACTGGTGCCCGGATGCCCCGTTTCCGCTGACCTGCCGCCAGGCATGAGGTGGCCGGGGGTGTCCGGGTGAGGCTGGCGGCTGCCGTGGGCCACTCCCATCTCCTGGGGCCTGGGGTGCATTCCCCACCCAGCCGGGCCGATTACACGCTTTGGCAAAGGAAACCGCAGGGAGCAGGGTGTCAGAGAGGTGTGGAGGGCCCCTGAAAGGCCATGAACTTGGCCTAAACAGGCTTCCCAAGAGCACGGCAGCCGCGAAAGGGAGAAATAAAAGCTCGGAAGGACAGCTGACGTCCTGAAGAAGACATCACTAAGAAATGGTTTCAAAAATAATGCGACGTGACAGGAGCACATAGCGAAGTTTCAAACACAAAACGCAGAACTATTGATAGACAATATAGGAAGCCCCTGGAAACATAAGAAATTAAAAAATCCACTGTTCCTAACTCATTTTCCAAATGCCCCCCTCCAGCATCAAACTGCCCCCCTGGGGGCGTGTACCCCACATTGGGAACCGCTGGCATGGACAGTGACACGCAATCATGCAGCAGCCATGTTTCATGTGAAAGTTTGACAGAGCAACACAGCCTGGGCAGCTTTCAGTCTTGCTAACTGAGAACAGAAAATAGAGAAAACATGGCCTCTTACTGTGCAGAGGGAAGGAAACCCACCCGGACTGGGCTCGGCTTCAGAGCAGGAGCCCTCACTGTGCCCTCTCGTCCTCCGCCTTGGGCTCTGGGGAACCTGGCGGAGGTGCGGGGCGCAGGGCACAGGCCCGGGGAGCTGAGGATGTGGTCGGGGGAGTTGCTCCTCGCCTCTGAGATGGGAGAACTGAGGCTTCGGGGGGCGGAGAAGGAGTGGACACTCCCACCCGGAGCTGAGCCCAGAACAGCTCTCAGGCCCCTCTCGCAGGCCGTGGCCTCAGCTGCCCCGGGGACAGGCGGCTAGGCCGGCACCTGGCACCCGGATGCACACAGCCGGGCCCTGCACGGCCACGTGCCCCCGGCCCTCAGCTGGCACCGCTCCGCTGAGTGGCCCCAAACTCCCGCTGCTCTGCTCCGTGCCCACGCCCTGAGTGCGGATTGGGGTTCCGAGGAGTCTGTGACAATCAGGGGGGCCCGTGTGTACGTGTTGGGGCCCCTGATGGTTTGGTGAGCATCTGTTTCCGCCCAAAGTCATCGCGGTCCTTAAGACGGCCTGGCCGGCCCCAGCGCAGCGCAGGCAGGTGCTCCAGGGCTAAATACCTGCCGACGAGGCCCCGAGCCAGGCGGGCACCGGCTGCTCCAGGCACAGCCCGTGGACGGGGTTCATGGAGACTCGGGGAGTCGGGACAGCTCGGAGGCCAGGGTGCCCAGGGGTGCCGGGCCCTGGAGGAGGAGGGACGGGCCCTGGGACGCAGCCCGCCCGTGGGCTCCCAGTGCAGGCCGGGTTCCGTGGCTCTGAGTGGCCCGGTGCCCTGGCCAGACCCCTGCCAGATGGAGAGGCCCCTGGCCCTCTTACCCGGAGTCACCTGACCCCATTTCCTCTGGCTCCGCCCCGGAGAGGCAGCAGCAGCATCTGATTGTGATTTGCCTCGGAAATTCCTGGCCAGAATATTCTAGAGCGGCCCATGTGACCCCTTTTCCCGCCCTCCCTTCCCCCTTCCCTCCCTCCCTCTTCCCTCTCTCCTCCCTCCCTCCCTCTCTCCCCTCCTCCTTCCCTCCCTCTCTCCCCTCTTCCCCTTTCTCCAGCGGGGCTTCCGTGGAGACAAGATGCTATGGAGAATTTTGTGTGTAACATCCTCCCTCCCCTCCTCCTTTCCCCCTTCCCTCCCTCCCTCTCTCTCCCCTTGTCCCTCCCTCCCTCTCCCCTCTCTCCCTCCCTCCTCCCTCCCTAAGGGTTTGAGTATCTCATTCAAATCCGTGCTGTGCCCTTTAGTTCCTGTAAGTGAGTTCCTGGAGTCGGCCCATTCCCTGCAGACCCGGATCTGCCCAAACAGAGTTTGCCGGAGGCCTGGGAAGAGCACAGGGTGACCCCCACCTGGCACTCGCTGCCCAGAGAGGTCTGCTCGGACCCCCTGGCCTCCCCCCGGCCCACACCTGTCCTGAGTTCATCCCAGACCCCTCCGTCCACTCGCACTTTCCAGAGTTTGCTGAGCAGCTACTATGTGTCAGGAGCCCGGCTCGGCACTAATGAAACAGACACCTCCCTCCCTGCCTGCCTTCACCGAGCCTTCAGCCCAGTGGTGTGTGTGTGTGTGTGTGCGTGTGCGTGTGTGTGGAGCGGGAGCTGTCGCACAAACATTACCTTGTTACCAACTGTGACCACTTCTGTGGATGAGGAGGAACAAGCCAGGTGAAAAGCGAGAGGAAGCAGCTGGTGCAAAGGCCCTGAGGCGGGCGGTGGGCGGGCCAGCGGATGACCTGACCATCTCGGAGGCCAGCGAGGCTGAGTTCGGACAGCAAGGGGCGGGGAGAGGGGGGCAGGCGAACTGAGCCCTGGGGGCCACAGGGGCGAGTTTGCGCGTCATTCTGGGGGAAGCTTCCAGAAGGTGGAGGGTCAACAGGGCGGGCAGGACAGGACGTGACCGTCTGGCCACTTCGGGGAGAACGGGTTGGCAGCAGGGGCCTGGCCAGCGGGCGCCCAGTGGTGCCTACAGGGTAGACGTTGCTGATGACATTCCTGCCCACCAAACTGCTGGGGTCCCGGGGATTAGGAATACCCTCCCCGCTGCTGAATAACATTCTTCTTCTTTTTTAAAAAAAATACATTTTATTGACTTTTTACTGAGAGAAAGGGAGAGGGACAGAGAGTTAGAAACATCGATGAGAGAGAAACACCGACCAGCTGCCTCCTGCACACCCCCTACTGGGGATGTGCCCGCAACCAAGGCACATGCCCTTGACCGGAATCGAACCCGGGACCCTTCAGTCCGTAGGCCAATGCTCTATCCACTGAGCCACACCGGTTTCGGCTGAATAGCCCTCTTCTGGATGGGGGGAAGGGGTGGGAGTGAAGCTGGAAGGCGTGAGGGGACAAAGGCAGAGAACCAGGCCTCGGTTTCCTGCCGAGAGGGGAATGCCGGGAGAGGAGGAGGCAGGCCCGGCACTGATGTGGTCGCGGGGGACTGGGAAGGCCCGGTGTTCCCACGCGGAGCCCCGCGTCCCACAGACGCCCGGGGCCTTTGAAGTCGGCGGGCCCACCAGCGGGAGCGGGGCTTCCGTGGAGACAAGCCGCTCGGGGGCGGGGCCGAGCACCGGGAGGCTGCTGCCCCCGCAGACAGGCAGGGCCAGTGATAATGTACATCTGTTTCGGGGAATTTATAAGCTTTGAACATTTTTTATGGGCAGATAAGTGGGTCCTTTTCTTACCAGAACTTGGAACTTCAAAGCGGAGTGTGTGGATAATGCAAATTGCTGAAACTCGAGCTTTTCCCCCACAAAAGAGGTTTCCGAAGGAGCCGGGGCAGAGACGGGAGCGGGGAGAAGACAAAGGAGGCTAATTGATGCCATGTCTTTTATGTGCGGGCGTGCCGTGCGCGGACATCGATTTTTATGGAATAAGACACGGGCCGGCCGGGAGCGGGAGGAGGGGAGGAGGGGCTGGGACCGGCCCTGAGGGCCAGGCCAGGCTGCGGGTCAGCCCTGGGGGCACGGTCCCCTCCATCTTGGAGCCCTCGCCCTTACAGGGAAGACAAACAAATGGACACCAGGGACACCTCTGAGCCAGCTGGGGCCCGGCCAGCCCGGGGCCTGGTCCATCAGAGTGAGGCCCTAGGGCCGTGGTCAGCAAACGGCGGCTCTCAAGCCACAGGCGGCTCTTTGGCCCCTGGAGTGTGGCTCTTCCACAAAAACACCACGGCCTGGGCGAGTCTGTGTTGAAGACGTGGCATTAGAAGAAGTGTAAGTTTAAAAAATGTGGCTCTCCAAAGAAATGTCCATCGCTGTGCTGTGGATAGTTGGCTCTGTGGACTGATGAGTTTGCCGACCACTGGGCGAGGGGCTTAGGGGCTGGGGGAGCCTGGAGGCCTAGGGACTCAGGAAACCCCCTGCAGGCACGATCCTGGCGGGGGGGGGGAGGGAGGGTGAGGGGGGCATCCTAGGTGGTGAGACAGCTGGGTCAGGCGCCCTGCGTTCTGCCTCTGCTGCCTGCTCACCAGCCCTGAGCCTTCTTACCGCCCCCTCTCCCTCCACCAGCAAGTAGCCTGTGAGCTCCTGGAGGGCAGGGACACAGGCAACCCTCAGTATGTACCTGTGGATGCATGATTGAGTGAATGAACAGCTGAATGAATGGATAACTGAATGAATGAATGAACAGTTGAACGAATGAATGATTCAGTGAACGAATGATTGAGTGACTGAATGAGTGGTTGAATGAATTAGTGATGGGATAAATGAATGAGTGAATGGGCCGCATGGAGGGTCAACCAGCTCTGTTTTTTCCCCATGTTCACGTCCGCAGCGGAAGATTCAGACGGGAAGGGGAGGGAGGGTGTGTTTGAACTTGTGCCCTGTGGTTGACCCCAATGCCCCGAGGTGAGTCTAAGCCAGTCCGCATGTGGCAGTGAGAGGGAGGATGGTTCTCACCCATGGCTGCACCGGGCAGTGATGGGGCGGCATGTCCTGGCCAATGGGCTGTGTGGGGCAGTGATGGGGCGGCATGTCCTGGCCAATGGGCTGTGTGGGGCAGTGAGAGGGTGGCTGCTCCAGGCCAGTGGACTGAGGGGGCAGTGAAAGAGTGGCTGGTCTTGGCCAATGGGCTGTGTGGAGGCAGAGAGGGCGTGGCTGGTCCTGGCCAATGGGCTGTGTGGAGGCAGAGAGGGCGTGGCTGGTCCTGGCCAATGGGCTGTGTGGAGGCTGGTCCTGGCCTATGGGCTGTGTGGGGTAGTGAGGGGGCGGGTGGTCCTGGCCAGTGGTTTGTATGGGGCATCAAGAAGGTGGCTGGTCCTGTCAATGGGCTGCATCTGGCAGTGAGGAGGAGGGCGCTGGCCCTGTCCAATGGGCTGTGTGGGGCAGAGAGGGCGTGGCTGGTTCTGTCCAATGGGCTATGTGGACTGGTGAGGGGGCGGCTGGTTTTGGCCAATGGGCTGTGTGGGGTAGAGAGGGCGTGGCTGGTTCTGTCCAATGGGCTATGTGGAGTAGTGAGGGGGTGGCTGGTTCTGTCCAATGGGCTATGTGGAGTAGTGAGGGGGCGGCTGGTTTTGGCCAATGGGCTGTGTGGGGCAGAGAGGGCACGGCTAGACCTGACCTATGGGCTGTATCGGCCAGTGAGAAGGTGACTCCTCCTGATTAATGGGCTGCATCTGGCGCCAAATGATCCACCTGCCCACCCAACCCCCCCTCCACCCCTGCCTGCACCCTCTCCCCCCTCCTCCACCCCTGCCCGCACCCTCTCCCCCCCTCCTCCACCCCTGCCTGCACCCTCTCCCCCTCCTCCACCCCTGCCCGCACCCTCTCCCCCCTCCTCCACCCCTGCCTGCACCCTCTCCCCCCTCCTCCACCCCTGCCCGCACCCTCTCCCCCTCCTCCACCCCTGCCTGCACCCTCTCCCCTGATCCCCGCGCCCTCCCCGCCCCGATGCTAACGGCCACCCGCCCAGGACGCCCGGGTCCTCCCGGCGCCGGGCGGAGGGACGGTGCAGCCGCACTCTCATTAGTCGCTCTGACGGCTCTTGTCGCCCATCGGGAACAAGCAGGGCTTTGATCACAGCACGAGGGGAGCAGGCTGCAGGCTCAGCCTGTGAAGGCGGGCCAGCGCCAGGCAGGGAGCCGGCCGCAGCCGCGTTCAAAGCGAGCGGCTCCCAGGCTCCGGGCTTGCTGTCTGAGGGCTGCTCAGGGCCCGCCCGCAGCCCGGGTTTTAATGGGCCAGGAGCCCCGAGGTGGGGGAGGCGCCCCCGGGGGCTCCGGGGAGGGGAAGGGACTCCTGGGGGGGACACCGGCACCCCGGACCCTGAGTCTCAGGCATCAGGGGCTGTTGAAGCTGAATGGCCAGCAGGTGCTGTGGCCTCACCCCCCCACCCGCCCCACAATCTCCCCTTCCTGCCCCTCTGCCGGCCCTAATGGGGTCCCCACAGGCACAGGGCCCGCCCTGCCTGCCCCAAGGGGTGCAGGGTGCTGTCAACAGGCAGCAGCTCTTTGTTGAGTGCCCTCCCTCCGCCCGGCTCCAGGACAGGCTGCGGACATAATTCTCGGGGGGGACAAGCGAAGGGGGGGCGGGGGGGCAAGATAAAAATGGGGGAAGCCGTTCTGAAAGCCTCGTAAATCCCACAGAGCATGAACCCTCAGGGCACGGGTCCTGCACAGCCACAGAGGCCACCCGCCCACCACCCCGCCCTGCCAGCCCCTCTCCCAGGCCCGTGGTCGGCAAACTCATCCGTCCGCAGAGCCAAATAGCAACAGCACAACGATGGACATTTCTTTGGAGAGCCGCATTTTTAAAACTTAAACTTCTTCTAACGCCACTTCTTCAACACAGACTCGCCCAGGCCGTGGTGTTTTGTGGAAGAGCCACACTCACGGGGCCAAAGAGCCGCGTGTGGCTCTCGAGCCGCAGTTTGCCGACCACGGTTCTAGGTGGTTCTGAGGACCACGGGGGCTGGGCAGGCGTGGGGCGTGGGCAGGACAGGCGGTTGGATGTGTCAGGTGGTTCTGAGGACCACGGGGGCTGGGCAGGCGTGGGGCGAGGGCAGGACAGGCGGTTGGATGTGTCAATAAGAGTGAGCTGGTGGCCCAGCCCGTGGCTCCGTGGATGAGCGTGGGCCTGTGAAGCAGGAGGTCAGGGTTCCAGTCCGGGTCAGGGCGCGGGCCAGGGGTGCGGGCTGGATCCCCAGTGTGGGGCGGGCAGGAGGCAGCCGGTCCGTGATTCTCTCTCATCATTGACGTTTCTCTCTCTCCCTCTCCCTTCCTCTCTGAAATCAATAAAATATATCTCAACTATTTGCACCACACAGAGAGTGCGTAGCATGGAAGTGTGCCACCCAACAAAGTATCACCAAACAGACGCCCTCACCCCCTCCCCAGAGACTGAGAATAGATCCACTCCCTTCCCGAGGCCTCCTGCCGCCGCTCCCACCGCAGCCCCGCCCTCCAGCAGACATAGCCACTCCCTGGAGGTCACAGGGCCCCGCTCTGCCTTTTTTTTAAAAATATATTTTATTGATTTTTTACAGAGTAGAAGAGAGAGGGAGAGAGAGAAACATCGATGAGAGAGAATCATTGATCAGCTGCCTCCTGCACACCCCCCACTGGGGATGTGCCCGCAACCCAGGTACATGCCCTTGACCGGGATGGAACCTGGGACCTTTCAGTCTGCAGGCCGACGCCCTATCCACTGAGCCACACTGGTTTCGGCCCGCTCTGCGTTTTCCTTCTCCTTGCCCCGGGATGAAGCATCCTCAGCCAGTACCCCAGCGTCTCCTCCTCCCCAGCGCCATCAGGGGGCGTCCTGCCCGCTGCACTTTCTGCGTCTGCCCCTTCGCTCACGCCCGCGGGTGGGACCCATCCTTTCCCCAGCAAAGTCCTTTTCGGGGCTGCATACTATTCCCCCGGCGCCCTGACCACAGCGCTCACCGTCTCCTGGTCCCTGGGCGCTGGGTGTTCCCAGCTGGGGGGCGTGGTTGGACACCGTCCTGCTCTGAAGTTCTAGTCCGGGCTTTGGGGTGAGCGTCTCCCTGTCTCTCGGTGGGGGACCTTCCGAAGCGGGGCCTGCTGGGTCCCCACAGAGTCCTCTACGTCCGGCTTCAGGAGAGGGTGGCCAAACCAGTTTCCTAGGTGGTGGCACCCGTTCGCACCCTAACAAGCAAGGGGTACTTCTCCGTTATCTCCCTCCCCCTCTCGCCGTCCCAACCTGGCTTTACCCACAGTTTGCACCGGCTCAGGTGTGCAAAGGTAGAAGCGAGTGCAGGTGTGCGGCAAGGAGTCCTGTCCCCTCCCCCACTCCAGGGAGCAGATGGAGGGCGTCCCCTCTTCCCCTCCTACCCCTGCCCCCCACCACCTGGGTCCTCAGAAGCTGGGGGGAGGGGGGAGGTCTGGGGATGGGCGTGGCGCCCAGAGCCTCCCTCCTGTTGGAGAAAGAACCCCTCCCCCATGAGGAGGGAGGTAAGCGAGCCCCCCGCCCCCGCCCCGGAGCCAGCTGGCCGCCCAGGGGCGGCTGCAGGGCTATTTCTAAGCGCCCAGGGGCACCAGCCTCCTCCCGCCTCTGGGGCCTCCGGGCTGGGCTGCGGCGACGAGGCTGGGGAGCGGACACGCAGGCGGTGAGGTCCTGAACCCCAAGTCCTGGTCGCCCGGGACCCCAGAAACCCTGGCAGCGGCCGGCGGGCGGGTGGGGGGGTGAAGGAGGCAGCGAAGCATCAGCGCCTTCCCAGCACAGCTTTTAACCTCCAGCGCTGTTTCAAACCGCCCCGAACAAACGGGCTTGCAAAGTCTTTTCTCTTTCGGGAAAAGCTGATCCCCTAACGGTTCCTCCCTCCGCTCCCGCCGCCCGCGGAGCGCCGGAGCCTGCGGGGCGGCAGCGCCCTCTGCCGGCCGCTTTGCAGACTTCAGGAACGGATCCAGCTCCTGGATGCCGCCTCCCTGCAGAAGGGCAGGAGGGAAAGGGGGAAAGGAAGCGTCTTTGCCGCCTTCAGGGACCGGAAGGGACCAGCCACCCCGCGGAGCTCGCCAGCAGCGAGGCAATGCCCAGCGAGCCGCGGCGTTTGCTGCTTTGTTGCTTGAAATGAGGAAACGGGACCATTACAGGCCGGCTCACACCAGCAGGGCCGGGAGACCAAAAGGATCCCATGAAGCCAGAGGCCATGGTGGGGAAGGATACTATGTGGCAGTGACATGCTGACGGCCTATGATACAATGTCACCACACTTCAACCTGTCATCCTCCGACACACGTGAATGGTGGAGGCATTCCACCGCAAGGGCGACCCCATGCAAACTGCGGGCTCTGCGAGATCGCATCATCAGATGCAACCCTCTGGCGGGGATGTTGATCACGGGGGAGGGTGTGCATGTGGTGGTGGTGGTGGGGGCGATGGGAAACCTCTGCACCTTTTCCTTCGTTCCGCTGTGAACCCAAAACTGCTCTAAGGAAGGAAGCCTAGTGCATCTACAAAGCAGATGGCAGAGCAGCGTGAGGCCCGTTCCTGCTGCAGGCTGGCCGAGCCGCTGGTGGTGGCTGTGCTGTGGGGCTGGGGCTCCCTGCCCGGGGAGGGACTCGGGGTGCTCCCTGCATCCCCTCCAGAAGAAAGCTTCGCCCGATTCCAACGGGGCCTCTGTGGTTGCAGACGGGGGAGCCTGCGAGGCCGGAGCTGCTGCGGCCGTCCTGTCCCCGGAGGAGAGAGAGAGCAGAGACCAGGGAAGCAGAAGTGACGGAGGAAGTGAGAGTGAGGGAGCGGGGCTGGGTGACACAGCTTCACGCTGGTTCCTCCTGGGCTGCTCCGAGGAGGAAGCCCTCCCTGGTCCGTTAACCCGGCTCTCCTTCCGCTCAGCGGGCTCAGCCGGGCCGGGGCGCCTCCTTTCCAGGGCCCGGCCTGCGTCCCCAGGGCTGGGAGAGGTTCCCGCCTCAGTTTCGCCTTTCTGCTTCCCCTCTGCCCACCGAGCTCCCGTGGCCGCCTCCCGAGCGTCCCCTGTGGCTCCCTTCCACACCTCCTCCTCCGAGAAGCCCTCCCTGGTCATTGGGCTGAGGGATCGCTGTGTCTGCTCCACTGCCGGCCCCGTGGCTCCCTTCCACACCTCCTCCTCCGAGAAGCCCTCCCCGGCCATTGGGCTGAGGGATCGCTGTGTCTGCTCCACTGCCGGCCCCGTGGCTCCCTTCCACACCTCCTCATCCGAGAAGCCCTCCCTGGCCATTGGGCTGAGGGATCGCTGTGTCTGCTCCACTGCCGGCCCTGTGGCTCCCTTCCACACCTCCTCCTCCGAGAAGCCCTCCCTGGCCATTGGGCTGAGGGATCGCTGAGTCTGCTCCACTGCCGGCCCCGTGGCTCCCTTCCACGCCTCCTCCTCCGAGAAGCCCTCCCTGGTCATTGGGCTGAGGGATCGCTGAGTCTGCTCCACCGCTGGCCACGGCGCTGTGGTGTGGACAGCTGCTCTGGTCTCTGTGACCGGGAGCGAGTCCCCTCTCCAGCCGCCGTGCCCCCACCTGTAAACAGACACAGGCGAAGAGACCCTAAGGGTGCATAGCTTGTCTGCTCCTTGTCGGCTGTGTGGCCTCGGGCAAGTCACGCAACCTCTCGGGGCCTCTGTGTCCGGCCTGTTAGATGAGGCGGCCACTGAGATGCTGTTTTCCCACGGTGACTCAGGGGAGGCCTGTCTGATCCCGTCCGGGGGACCACAGGGCAGGCGGGAGAGGCTGCTGGAGCAGGCTGCTGACCAGAGGAGCCCCCAGGCTCTGGGGAGAGGGCCCAGCGCGGTTGCCAGGTGCGAGGGAGCTGGCCTGGGCCACCAGCTGCAGGCTCCTGGCCCTGCAGTGAGGCAGGCGTGTGGGAGGGGCCTATGTGTGGGAGGAGCTTATACGTGTGGGAGGAGCCTAGGTTTGTGGGGGCGGCTTAGGTGTGTGGGAGGGACCTAGGTGTGTGGGAGGGGCTTAGGGTGTGTTGGGGGGTCTGGGAGGCAGGAAGACAGATGGGGAGGAGCCAGGTGGAGCGGATGCTGCTCCTCAGGCACCTCCCATTTGAACTGGCTTACCTCCTGCTTTCACCTGTGCAGACAGGAATCACCTGTGAGGAAGGGGAGGGAGCTTGTCCTGTGGATTCTAACTCGGTGAGTCTGGGGTGGGGCCTGACATTCAGCATCGCTGAGCAGCTCTCAGCTCCCCAACAGGCTGATGGTTCTGTTCCCGGGCCGGGTTGTAGTGGGCCCTGCGGAAGGCGCCCTGGAGGAGGCGGCACGGGGAGCGGAAGGACTTGTTCCAGGACCTAAGACGTGCGTGGGTCCTTGGCTTCCCCAGCAGCAGGGAGAGGCCCGGAGGAGACGGCGTGTGGGTCCTCCAGGCCCTCAGACGCCTGTGAGGGATGAAGCCTGTGGCCAGAAGCCCCGGAGACCAACGGGCCACAGCTGCCAACCACCCGGGAGGGCGGCACCGAGTGCCCCTCGGAGAGGCGGGTGGGCAGCCCCTTAGGAAGCCTGGGTAAGTCCATCCCCTGCCTTGGGGTCCTGATGGGGAATTCCCTGATATGATTTTGTAGGTCCTCTCCACCCTGTTATTAGTGTGTGTGTGTGTTTAAAACAAAAAACCTCACACATGCACAGAATATGTGATATTTTGAGGTGTACACGACCCCCACATTCGGCATCTGCCCTCGCCACTGGCCTGGTCCCAGGCTGACTTCCCAGGTACCTGGCCCCAGCCCCCCTTCTCACTGTGCCAGGACCTCCCTGTGGAAGAACCGTGGCCACGGGTGCGTACCCAGACCCCAACCCCGCAGTGCAGATTCTAGGCGATCCCCACCCCCACCGGCGCCCCATTAGACTCCAGTGTCCCTCTGCACCCAGCAGGCTGGTGCCACGTGAAGCCTGACATCCGGGGCCCACTCTTAGCTCACCCCGCTGGCTGCCCGAATCTTCTACTAAACTCCCCCGCCTCCTGCTGGACTTTCTTTCTTTCTAAAGAACGTATTTTCATTGATGTCAGAGAGGAAGGGTGAGGGAGAGAGAGATAGAAACATCAGTGATTAGAGAGAATCATGGACCGGCCGCCTCTTGCACGCCCCACCCTGGGGATCGAGTCTGCCACCGGGGCCTATGCCCTGACCGGGAATCAAACCCTGACCTCCCGGTTTTCATAGGTCCACGCTCGCCACTGAGCCACACCAGCCGGGGCTGGGTTTGTGGTTTTATTTATTTATTTTTTTAAGTATATATTTTATTTTTTTTTACAGAGAGGAAGGGAGAGGGATAGAGAGCTAGAAACATCGATGAGAGCGAAACATCAATCAGCTGCCTCCTGCACACCCCCTACTAGGTATGTGCCCGCAACCAAGGCACATGCCCTTGACCGGAATCGAACCTGGGACCCTTCAGTCCGCCGGCTGATGCTCTATCCACTGAGCCACACTAGTTTAGGCTGGGTTTGTGGTTTTAGAGCAGGGGTGCCTGGCATCTAAGGGACACAGGGAGAGGGGGGGAGGAGGAGAAGTTGGGGGCCAGGGGCGGGGGCTCCGCTGGACGCAGCTGGGGAAATGGGGGACTCTAAGCGGCCCCACGTGGCTGTTGCATCCAGGAGGCGCCCCAAGGACAGCCCCGGGGACCCCGGGCCTGCAGCTTGCAGCGGCTCAGTCCAGGTACTCGCGCACGGCCAGCTCCTTGAGCGTGAGGCCCCGCGGGCCGGGCCTGCGCAGCTGGCAGTCCTCCAGGCGCCGCTGCAGGGGCGCGCAGTCCCGGCCCAGCGCGCGGGCCAGGCGCACCATGGCGTCCAGCAGCGGCTCCAGGTAGCGGTGCCCGTCCCGCAGCCGCGCCAGCGCGCGCTCGCCCGCCGCGAAGGCCTCCAGGGGGCGCTCGAGCTCGCGCAGGCAGAGCAGCGCGGCGCAGAGCGCGGGGGCGGCGGCGGCCGGCCGGTGCGCCGTCAGCCGCGCCTGCAGCGGCCCCGCGCGGCCCAGCGCGCCCAGCGCCCGCGCGTACTGGCCGGCGCGCAGGCAGCCGAAGGCCTCGCGCAGCTCGGGCCGCGTCAGGAAGTCCAGCAGCTCCCGCGAGCGGCGCGCGCAGCGCAGGCCCGCCAGCTGCCGCAGGTACTCGGCCAGCGCCCGCGAGCGCGCGGCGATCAGCGCGGGCGCCAGGTTGCCCAGCAGCCGCTTCCCGGGGAAGGCCACGTCCTCCATCTCCTCCGGGAAGGCGCGCAGCAGGCCGCGCTGCAGCGCCTCGAAGTCCGAGTAGCGCCGCTCCAGCACCGCCTTCGTGCTGTCGTAGCTGCCCGTCTGGATGACCACCACCTGGTACATCTGCGGAGGGGGAGAGAGAGAGAGGTGGAGAGATGGAGAGAGCGAGCGAGAGAGAGATGGAGAGAGAGAGAGATGGAGAGAGAGAGAGATGGAGAGAGAAATGGAGAGAGAGAAGTGGAGGGGGGGAGAGATGGAGAGAGAGAGAGAGGGATGGAGAGAGAGAGAGATGGAGAGAGAGAGAGGGATGGAGAGAGAGAGAGAGATGGAGAGAGAGAGATGAAGAAAGAGAGAGATGGAGAGAGAAATGGAGAGGGGGGGAGAGATGGAGAGAGAGAGATGGAGAGATGGAGAGAGCGAGAGAGAGAGAGATGGAGAGAGAGAAGTGGAGGGGGGAAGAGATGGAGAAAGAGAGAGAGATGGAGAGAGAGGTGGAGATATGGAGAGAGCAAGCGAGCATTGGAGCACATTCCAAGGAGGGTCTGAATGGATAGAGTGAGCCTGGGGACTGGCGATGAAAAGAATGATGTGGGGAGTTAAAGCCCTCCCTGAAAATGGGCTTTTTAATTTTTTTTTTTTTTTTTTTTTTGGTAATACGTTCATCTTCAACCGGAGGCTATGGTCCCACTGATCTCTGAGGCAGCATGGAAGAGGGAGGGGAAGAGGGAGAAACATGGATGTCCAGAGGAGCCTGCAACCAAGGGACTTGCCCTTGACAGGAATCCAATGGGGACCCTTTGGTCGGCGGGCTGACGCTCTAGCCACTGAGCAAAACCGGCCAGGGTGGGCTGCTCTGTGTGAGGGGACAGATGACCAACCCCAGAAGATGTGGGATAAGAGCTGGTTCCTCGTGGGGATGGGGGACTGTGGCCCACAGATCTCCGGCCCCCGCGGCACCCCGTTCCCCAGCCTCCTCTCCCGCAGAACCGTGAACGTGGGTGAGCCCGTCCAGGCTGGGAAGCCGAGGCCCGCGGACTTGGCCCCTGACCCCCGACCCCTGACCCCGGGCAGGGGGAGCGGTGCTTACCACAAACCTGCACGGCGTCCCCTCCTCGATGCGGGCCGAGGCGATGTCGAAGATCAGCCTCACGGGCTTGCGGTCGCCCTTCTCGCCCCTCCAGTACTCCTGCAGCTCCCGCGTGGTCATGCCGGAGTGGGCGCCCGGGCTGCCGGTGCCGGCGGCGGCTGCGAGAACAGCACCGCGGCCTAGGACCGGGCCCGTGCACGCAGGGCCAGGCCTGGGGGGCGGCCGGGTCTGCCTGGGATGGGCCACGGGGCTCCCAGAGGAGCTGTGACTCCCCCGCCCCCGTCCCCCCAAGAACGGGGCCAGCCGGGCATCAGCCCGACCCTGGGCCCCACCTGCTGAACCCATCCTGCCCTGGATGGACCGGCGGGCGGACGGACGGACGGATGGCCTGACGTGGCCCCTCCTCCCCAAGCGGCTGCGGTTGCAAATGCAACGTGAATCGCCCGCTCCTCTTCCCGCCTGCGGGTGGGCCCGCGCCCGGCTCCGCGGCTCCTTGGGGCTGAGCCGGCTAAGAGAGGCCCCCGGCTGTCGCGTGGCATCTGCTGAGGTGCCCACTGGTGTTTCAGATGTCCTCCCACCTCCGTTCCCCCGACCACGCCCCCTGCCCCCACTCACCCGGGTCCCCGTCAGGTCCTGGAGCGGGGAGGCCAGGGCCAGCGGCGGACATTTCCTGCCCGGCCCCTGCCTCGCTCGGGGCGGTGAGTCCCGCCCATTCGGGGCTCCAGGGCTGCTGGGCACTGGCCATGCTCTGGGCTGCCAGGGGGACAGAGAGAACAGTGAGCTGAAACCGGTGTGGTTCAGTGGGTAGACTGTTGGTCTGCGGACTGAAAGGTCCCAGGTTCGATTCCAGTCAGGGGCATGTACCTTGGTTGCGGGCACATCCCCAGGAGGGGGTGTGCAGGAGGCAGCTGATGGATGATTCTCTCATCGATGTTTCTAACTCTCTATCCCTCTCTCTTCCTCTCTGTAAAAAATCAAAAAAATATATTTAAAAAAGAGAGAGAGAGAATAGTGAGTGCCTTTGGGGTGGGGGTGGGCGCTGGTGGGTCCTGGGAGGCCTGGGACCTGACTCCTGGTCCCCACTGCTGGGCCGCCTTGCCCACCAGCTGCCTGCCTCCCTGTCGGTGCTAAACCAGGGCCCACAGCCGAGCAGGTCCTTCCTTGTTAGGATCCTTACGTTGCCAGTTTATGCTCTGAATTTCTTATTTAATTTAATTTATTTTTTTCAATATATTTTTATTGATTTCAGAGAGGAAGGAAGAGGGAGAGGGAAAGAGATATCAGTGATGAGAGAAAATCACAGATTGGCTGCCTCCTGCATGCCCCCTACTGGGGATGGAGCCTGCAACCCAGGCCTGTGCCCTGACCGGGAATCGAACCTGCAACCCTTTCATGCCCAGGACAACACTCCAACCCATTGAGACACACCGGCCGGGGCCACCCACCACTTCTTCCCCCACTTCCTGGTCCCCCAGGTTCTTCACACCCGCTGTCTTCTTCACCCCCCCCCCCCCCCCCCCCCCCAGGCCTGTCCGGACTCCCGGAGCAGAGGAGGCGGGCCCAGGGCCCAGGGCTGGGGAGTGTGTGCCCCACCAGCCGAGCCAGAGCTGTGAGCCCTCCAGGCCTCAGCCCGCAGTGCCCGCTCCCTCCCTCCCTCCGCGGGAATCCCCCGCTTTGTGCTAGGAACCGAGACTTAGAGCGGGCGGTGGCGGGCGGGCATGGGGTGGGACAGAAGGTAGCCTGTCTGTCTGCAGGGTCCTTCCACCTGCTGGGGCGGGGGCGGGGAGGGACGGGGGGGGGGGGGGGGGCGGGGCGGGGCGGGGCGGGGGGGGCGGGGAGGGGTGGGGGGGCGGGGAGGGACGGGGAGGGACGGGGCGGTGGGGGCGGTGACCCTGTGAAGGAGCTGCCCGGTGCCTGGCACGTTGCTTGCCTTCTCTGTGCCTCAGTTTCTTTTATGCAAGCAGAACGCACTCCCTGAGGCTGGCGTCCATGGGCAGCATCGCCCAGACCCCCCCCCACCCCCCCCCCGCACTGTCTAACAGTCCTGCTCTTTATCGGACATACGATAGATGCTCCGAGAACTAAGTGAGAAATAAAAGCTCTAAACCAAGGTGGCAGCTGGAGCAGCACTGTCAGCGTCCGAGACGGATCGGAAAGGCGGGCAGAGAACACACGGGCAGGAGCTCAGAACACGAAGGGTGCAGCGGCTGGGTCTGCAGGAGGGGCCCGGGGTGGGGCTGGGCGTGAACGCTGGCCTGTCCGACTCCAGGCCCGGTCTGCACCCTGTGCTCCTGTGGCGTGGACGGGTGTGTGTGTGTGTGTGGGGGGGGGGAGGGGGTTGGGGAGGTGTTTTGCTGCCGGAACAGCCCCCGATGCCACCAGAGCATCCTAGGTGGAGGGTGAGGGCTTGGAGAGGGCAGTCCCTGGCTCCCGGCACCAGAGTCCAGCCCAGCAGGTCTGAGGCTGGGCCCCGGACTCCCCATGGTACACAAGTCGCCGAGGACCAGGCCGGTGCAGGGGTTCCCTGGCACCACTGTTTGGGAAACACAGGTGTGGCGCCGAACCCCAGGTCCGGGAGGGGCTGTGGAAGGAACCTCCACAGGAACCGAGGCCGCGGAGGGCTGGGGAGCGGCTCGCTGGGCCGTCCCAGGGTGCACCGAGGCGGCCGCCCGCCCTCCTGGGGCCCACCCTTCCTCCAGCAGGTGCTGAGGGTGGGTCCCGGCTGCCGGGCTCAGGCCCCGGGCGGGGAGGGAGGGGGGCACTGGGCTTGGGATCGGGCACTGACCTCTGACCTGCGGCTGCTGGCCCTGTGGGAGTCCAGGGGTCCGGGAGCGGGGTCATGGGCCCCCTGAGCGCTGCACTCAGGCTCCGGCCGCGGCCGCGCTCAGTTCCCCGTTTGAAAACAGGAACTAGGCCGTGCGGCCTGCTCCGGGCGCCCAGCCCATTGGCTGCCGAGGAGGGTCTAGCGGGGCGCCAGGCAGGGGGGCAGAAACCAGTGGCCTGGCTGTCCTCCCGGGTCCCGGACACCCTGTGGCCTCCGAACCTCAGCTCCCACAACTCCGTTTTTTAAAAATCCTCACCCAAGGATGTTTTCCCATTGATTCTCAGGGAGAGTGGGAGGGATGGGGAGAGACAGGGCGAAACGTCGATGTGAGAGAAAACACATCGATGGGTTGCCTCTGCACCAGCCCTGACCGGTACCCGGGCTGGGGAGGAGTCTGCAACGGAGGTCACGTACCTTGGCTGGAATCGAACCCGGGTCCCTTTGGTCCTCTACCCACTGAGCCACACTGGCCAGGGCTGTTGCCACCTTCCTGTTCTTTTTGGCGAGGCGTCTGTTCGAGTCCGTAGCTCCCTTTGTTTTGTAAATCCTCACCTGAGGGTATTTCTTTCCATTTATTTTTCCATTTATTTTTAGAGAGAGTAGAAGGGAAGGAGGGAGAGGGAGAGAGAGTGAAACATCGATGTGAGAGAGACACATCCATCAGTTGCCTCCTGCAGGTGCCCCGTCCAGGGCCAGGGGTCCAACCTACAACTCAGATACGTTCCCTGGACCGGGAATCGAACCCGAGACCCTTTGGTGCCGGGCTGTGGCTCACCTTTTGGTCGGATCATTTTCTTCGGCGTGGTGTGGAGGGAGGCTGAGCATGCTCTCCCCTCCTTCCTGGACTGAAGCTGCAAGACGCCAGGGCGATGGACAGCCCTCCTCTGCCATCCTGCCAGCCTCGCACCCGCAGCCAGCAGCCCCGGCAGAGAGCGGGAGTCACTGCTCCCGGGGGGGGGGGGGGGCAGGGGCGCTCTGTGGGAACCCTGGATGCAGGGCGTCTGGCCGGGCAGCGGGAGCCCAGCTGGCCAGGGGGCCGCCAGGAGCTGGCTTCTCGGCAGCCCAGGTGGGGTGAGGAGCTCCAGGTGCCTCCGAGGCAGGCAAGGCCCCGCCGCCCTGATGGGGGGTGAGGACTGGGGGGGACCCCCTGGAGTGCCCGGGCCGGACGGTGAGAAGGGGGCACTGAGGGGTCCCGGGGGCTCTTACGTAAGGTGACCAGACGTTCCGCTTTTGGCGGGACGGTCCTGATTTTTAACAATTTGTCCCGCATCCCTCGGCATTTTAAAAAAGATTTTCTGGACTTTTAAAAAATGCCGCGGGATGTCACCTTACTCTTACGGAATTCAAACTGGACCCTCTGTGGCTTCTCCTTCTCCGGACCCCGCCCGTGCCTGCGCCCTGCCCCCCACACTGCATGGGGTCCCCGCTGAGCATCACACTGAGGGGTGTGGGCCTGCTCTGTCCTCAGACACGCCCGGCCCTCCCCCGGCCCTGCCTTCAGCCAGGGTGCCCTCCCTTGCTTCCTCTCTCCCTTTCAGGGTGCAGCGTGCTGGTCCCCCACTTTGTGGCCTCCCCTGGCCCCTCTGTCCAGACCTGCGTCACGTGGCTTATGTGTTTGCTCTCTCATTGCCGGTCTCCCACACACACCAGGATGGCGGGGACTCTGTTGGCGGTTTTTTCCTGTGGCAGGACCTGCCTCGGTGCCCTGGTGTGGGCACGAAGGAAGGAGCCCTTGGGCGGATGAATGAGTGAATGAATGAATGCATGAGTGGGTGAATGAATGAATGAATGCATGCAGGAGTGGGTGGTGCAGAGGGTGGTGATCGGGCTGGGCTCCAGCTCAGCCCTGACTCACGGGGTGCCCGGGGGAAGCCACCGCCCCTCTCTGGATGCCAGCTTCCGGAATTGCAACATGAGCTCATCCAGGATCCTCCCCCACCATTGAGCAAGCAATGGGGAACTGCACCCCCGCTCCCCACCGCCCCAGGTGTCTGTCCCACAGCTGGGAAGCCCAACACTCACACACTTTTTTGGGGGGGGAGTAAATGACGCCCCACACTGGGGATGGAGCCCGCAGCCCGGGCCTGTGCCCTGACTGGGAATCGAACCGTGACGTCCTGGTTCCTAGGTGGATGCTCCACCCCTGAGCCAGGCCGGCAGGCACCGGTCCGTTCTCTTAGGCCACCTCCTATGGCGGGGCATGGAGGAGGCTCCGGCTTTTCACGGGGCAGCGTCAGTCCTTCTAACCTGCGGAGTGCTGCCTGCGAGGAATTCACCTGGAGGCAGCGTGCGTGTGCGTGTGCGTGTGCGTGTGCGTGAGAGAGAAGAGAGAGGGAGAGAGGGAGAGAGGGAGAGAGAGAGAGGGAGGACGGGAGGGGGGCTTGTCCTGGGAGACTCTGGTCGCCTCCAGCTGGAAGGTGGCCCAGGACGGACGGGGTCACACACACGGGCCGGGGTCAGCACCCAGGTGGCCAGCGCTGCAGGCAGGGAGGGAGCTGGAGGCTCCGGACGGGAGGGGCGTGGTCGGCGCGGGCGGGTGG